CCTGGAGTGGCAACTGACCGACGAGAGGGGCGAGGCATCTTCCTCTGCAAGATCCTCTGACTAAGCGATATTCATGGAGGGTGAAAACCATATGGTTTCGTGTAGCTGTTCCCTTAAACATCCTTAAACCAAGTCTGGGACTAGAGGCTTTAGTCATCAACACCAACCCATCCTGAACAGCCCATCCTGAGCCCACAGGAGATCTACCCGATCCACGTGGCTGCTCAAGCAGGCGACCACGATGCACTTCGAGCGCTGCTGGCATCTAGAGTGGCTGAGTTGGCAAGTGGCAAAGCGTTGCAGTCCCCCTCCCCGCTTTCAGAGAGACGAGGAAAAGGTTTCTTTTCAATTGGAGTACAATCAGGTGATGCTCACAAGCAAAGTGGACAAGACAGACAAACGTTGGCAGATGTTTGCACGTGACATGAAACCATACGTTCGTGCGCGCCCCCGCTTTCGCGAATGTTGGCCTGGAATTGTCTCCAGGGCCCTGGGCCTAGCGGGGCCGTCGTGGGCGGTCTTAAAGAAACACAACACAACCACCAAAAGCAAAAAATCAATCAAGTTAGAAGGCAAACCTCATGGAGAGGATGATGCAGAGAGAGAGAGAGAGAGGAAGAGAGAGAGAGATATATATATATATATACATGTCAACAAAAGTCGCCCAGCGAAGATCTACGCTGTTGTCAGACCACACGTCTTTCACCTTGGTCAACACTAGCTGGTGGCAGGAGGGAGCGACTGAGAGTCGGGGGTATTCACATCTTCCCCATTGAACAAGTTCCCCAACCCCTTCGAGTCGATCGTGACTGACCTTTTCACGGTCACGGCGGAAACGGGTGTCACGTGGTAGACGAACACCTGGTGTCGCACATTGAGAGCAGTTGGCATGTTGGCAAAAGGACGGAAACAACTAAAGATCCTTTGACTCGAATGTTTCGTTTGCCGCAAAAAATGAAGATCCCATTACTTATATTTACTTATATAGCATCCCATTCTATACTTCTGTAGAGCTTCTGTAGAGCTTCCAAAGGGTGTCCGTGACCTGCAAGTGGTATAGGGTTCTTCATTGGGGACCCCGAACGGAAGCAACTGTTTCTTTGTTGTGCTTGTATACCTCCTATATGTAGACCGTTGAAACCCCATTCCAGTACCACCTTCTTCATAGGTTTTTCTCTTGTTGCACCACAACGGAGAGCCCCAGGGTCAAAAGGAGGGAATGCCGATCCGAAAGGGATCCGAAAGGCACACACACAACAAAAAAATGGTGCTCAGGACCAGGCCCCATCATCAGCCTGTTTCTTTAGCAAATGAACTTTGCCAGACATCGCCAGGTCGGTAGGTCTTTGGAGCTGGTGAGCTGAGTGCTGTGCGATGTTTTTCTGCAACAAAAAGCACACCCACCACCTCAAATCAAGCACACATGCTTTTTCCTATCAAGGAACATGTTCATTTAGATGTTCAAGATCCTGGATCCGTGTGAATTTTGGTTGTGTTCCCCTCCTCCTCTTAAGATCCCTCTAAGGCCGATGCCGCCCAGCGCACCTCCCGCGGCCGCTCGGCGCTGGAGATCGCCGAAGGCGCCGACCACGCGGGGTCGCACCGGCCTCTCGGCGGGACCTGGTGAGGGCGGCGCAGTCGTTTGGAGTGGAACCAGGGTCGGGAGGCTTTTGCTAGGGTGTGGTGCAGGGGTCGCTCCCCTCCAAAAAATATGTTTTACATATGCTTGAATACGAGGACACCCTGGCCCGGGTTAGTTTTGGATGGTAGACTTGTTTATTGCCCCATCCTTTTTCAGGGGGTCAGAACGCCTACGACGAGGCTCTCCCCAGTTGGAGTTCACACCCAGAGAACAACTATGGAGTTCACCAGCTGTTTGTGGATTCCAACGACCAAGTGCCTCCATGAGAAAGTACTTCGCCAGCACCACGGAGTTCGTGTTCTTGATGAGGATGGAACATGCATCGTCAGGGGTGTCCATCAACCACCCGAGTTCTCATGAGTTCTCGGTGCTGGTGAAGAGGTTGTTTCGACCTTCAGATGGGATGTGGGGGACAGGCATGAGGCAGCTGCTTAATGTTTTCACTTTGATCTCAGGAGCGACTCCGGAGCCCGGTATATTCAGTTCTTCCGCATGAAGTAAGTAGGGAACTGTTGCCACGGGAGTTCCCCAACCCCTTGCGACCATGGTGGGCAAGAGCTCAGACACCCCCTAGCACAGGGGCCAGGGGTGTTGATTTTTTCCCTAAAGTGGGTTGTTTCACACTACAAAAAGGGGGTTCTGACGGTATTTGGTTATTTAAGGGCTGGGTTTGGATTTGAGGTTTGATTTTGTTTTGTGGTGGTGGAGGGTCCTATTTAGCCAAGTGGTTGATGTTGATACATTGAATCATGCAGGAAGAGGCATGGACATGCCCGGTTCACTGATTCATCACTGGACGATTAGCTGAAGAGGTACACCTTGTTGTGGGAAGTCAGTCATGCAAAACCCCCAAGAAGGATAACGCTTATCGCCGGGTTAGTTATAGGTGTAGTGCTGGGTTTCAGAGGACGTTCTTAGACTTTGCCGCCCTGCGGCCTGCAAGTGTTTGTGATTGCTATGGATTGCTGTTCTTTTTGTTATCAGGGTTTCGGTTTTGGTACAAAAGTTCTTCCACTATATAATGAGTAGGGCCTGTAGGACTGATCTACTCCAATTCTTTTGTCCCGAGTTGACTGCAAAGTTGCGCAGCCCCAACAAGGGCATTTTACCGCGACCAAGGGTCCGCATGCGACTGGTACCATCGACTGAGGCGAGTGATTGCTTTGCTTCGGCGCACCTAGTGGGCCCGACCCATGAAGTTTGCATCACAGTGGCGGAGCAACAAATGCTCCTAGTAGCATAGCAAGAATGCTCCTAGTAGTAAGGACAGGTGCCCCTAGTACTTGTAGTTTCTTGTTGCTACATCTATTATCCATCCCTTTTTTGGGCACTAGGTTGTCCCGGTGAGAGAAGTTCTTGGCAGTGAAAAGCTACGCAGGTCCAGGGAGCAAGTGAGCAACAGAGTCTCAGAGCAATGATGACCTTTGAACGACTTGACTTGACCTCTACCTGTTCCAAAAGCGTGAAATTTGAACTCCTTCGTCCTTGATTCATTGATCTCCTCATGCAGAACTCAAGTGCCAAAATTATGTAGACGAAAACTCCCTGCTGGCCCTGTGCCGGACTATACCCCAGACAACTCCATGACTTTGCTGGGCTTAGAATATATGATTACATATGATTATATAGATTGATCATCGATCCCTAAAATCCAACACCCCAATTATAGTGGTTTCAGGATGGCACAATCCCCAAAAGGACATCTTTGGGTTTGTGCCATCTACTCTGAAACCAGTGCAATACAATAGGTAAATATGCCAGTCCCAGACAGATTACATGTTGGGTCGAGCCTAGACTTGTTGGTGAACCGGAGCAACGGCAGCCCATCGGAACCGAGGTTGCAAAGATCTTCCAAGTATGTAGAATTTTCGTCCTTCAGGTGGTTTTTACAGATGAATTGAGATTTTTTGGAGAGCTGGAAGATCTACCTGAAGTTGGGAATGGAAAAAGGTAGCCCGGTAGCAAGTTTGCTGATCACGTTCCGGACATCCTGCCTAGGGCCTATCCCTCGATCATTCAAGCGCTGTGAGGGTCGGGCTCATTGAATTTGAGCGCGAGCTCAGATTTTGGCTGCAAGCCTATAGCTCTCACAGAGTGAGAAGCTGGGCCGCATGCAGGATTGGCTTGGAAGCGTGTTCCTTTGAATTCGTCACGTTGAGTCACGTTGCCAATAATTTGTTCATGTCTTTTTGCTTGTGACCCATATCATCCGATTCTCGAATCCACTGGGCACGCGGCGTTGGACGTCCAAGCGATTTTCCAGCGGCCCATGAGCATCTCAGCTGCCCCAGGTGGGCGGAGATCACCGCTGCAGTCCTTGCGGTAGAACAGATGGGGCACCCCTTGAAGGTTGTGGCCACGATGGCATCGTGGCCATGAGAAGTATACATATAATGGTACAATAGTAATCATTATATAGTATAATGTAATACTGTATATAGTATGCCCGGATGCTCTGCCATGCTCGTCACACTGCTTAAACACACACATATATATATATAATATAGTGTTTGTTGTGATTTATAAATCAAAACACAGGATATCGACAAACATCCGAGATTTCAGAGGTTACTTGTGTTGAATGGCTGAATGATGTGTTCCTAGTTGGGGGGTCATTGCCTCCAAAGGTTCCCCCTTACGATCCTTCAAAAAGCTATTTCCAAACCAGCGACTGTATACAGCTCTATGAGACGTGGTGATTTTTCTGTGGCAGCTTGACGACAAAAACGGTTGATCAACTGGTCTTTATGACCCTCAAAAACGACTGTGGTCCAACCTGTGCAGAGGTCCACGACGGTGGTCCACTTCTTCGATATACGCTGCCAAAAGTAACTTCAGCTGAATAACAGTAGTTGCAGTAGTTTCAGAGTAGATAGATGGCACTGGCACCCCAAAGATGTCTTAGACAGATGGGTGATAGGGCTCCATATAAACCCACCGAACTTGCGGGCCCTTGTGCCATCGAACCTCTGAAACCCACTGTTGGAGATCTTGGGCATCCCTTGGCTGAATACAGCGAGACCAGGTTCCTATCCTTCACGGGGCTCAAGAGTTCGACACTGTTCGATCGGAGATCGGAAGGCGGGTGCTCTCGGACTAAAAGGGAGTTTCGTCCGTCGGATAAACGGCAGTCTTTGGATGTCTTTGGATTTCATGGGTGGAGGATAGTAGAGGTGCTAATCATTGTTAACCCTTATCAATTCACATATTGTTTAACATTGATGGAGAAATGGATACCCACGAAAAAACTTCAGCCAGAACAGACAGCAATTGCTTGGAACATCCAATCTTGATCACACGATTTGTGAACACCGCGGGAACCAGGACCGCTTCGACGCAAAAAACCACGCCCGCCGAGGCCGCAGAACTCGCCGAGGCACTCGCCCTCACCCACCTCGGACCGCGCGCTCCAGGTGAGACGAGAAGAGAGAGAAGACATGGTGGAAGATGGGGAAGTCGAAAATGGTCCCTTAATGGATCTACTTTCCTCTACAAACCAGTGGTTTTCAGGTTCCATGTTAATCTTCCAGAGTGTATCCTTATTATTGGAGAAGTTCCTGCAGGTAATTAGGGGAATGCGATGTTCAATTCCAGATTCAGGCGTTTCAGGAGATTTCCACTTAGCTTTAGTAGTGGTCTAGAAAATGTCTGGAGTCTTGATTAAACATGGGGTGGCTTATATCCAATTCTGCAACAATCCTGTTGCTTAAAAGAACAAGATTCGGACCTGACGTAACCTGGGAGTCCACATCCTGATTTTGGATTTGCCAAGCTGAGAGCTGCCAAGAGCAAGTGGCTGGGCCCATGCTGGGGCTCCAATAAGCTGGTACATGTGCCTTGTTACAGTAATTAGATGCATCTATAGTGGACTTTGAGTCTTGAATGGTCCGAGTGTGTGGCAGGGATGCTGCCACATTTTTGCTGCGGGTCGCTTGATCCAAAAGTTGAATTGAACTAGCTAAGCCCATCCTTGTAGTCCACATCACCATCGATTCTCTCCTATATCCATCAACTTCCGCACCTCAGAGGACCTCATTGTTGCTGGTACATGTGCCAGGAGAGCACGGTGGCAAGGAGCGCAAGAGAACCGTGCGCGGGCCACTTCTCCGGCCGTGCCAGGCGCTCATGCGCGGAGAAGAGCCACAGCTGTTGCTTCTCGGCCCATGTCGCCGACAGCTTCGCCGACAGCCACAGCTGCACTTGTTCGACACGCCGTCGACCTGAGACGAACGATGAAACCCAGACCACCCATGGATGGAATAGATACCTATACATTGGGGTCATAAATGGGGTAAATGTATGTAACGAGTCCATAGATGGATGGTTCGTGAAATGTTAAAGATACATACTGTGCATAATTGAAGAAATCAAGTGTTCTTTGCACGACCTTGGAAGCAACGCACTGCCCGTGTTTGGAGAAAGAAACCGTGTCACAAGTATGTTCACCAACATCAACATGCGGTCCTCCATCTCGAGTTTGGTTGGAATCGTCATCATCGTCATCATCAGAGAAGGAAGAAGATCCAGACTGCGGGTTCAAAGGATGCAAAACGGTCTAAGAGTCGGCCACCCGGGGCAGACTGTCCTGGCCAGGTCAGGGTTTAGGCTTGGATAGCCGGAGGATGGAAGTGTGCTGATTGGCAATTCCACAGTAGGCACCGTGTCAGTTTCCATGCAATATCATGCAATTACAGTAGGCACCTGCAGATTCAATGTGTGTTCTGTTGCAAGGCTAGCATATCCAACTACCTTCCATCAGAACATAGTAGAACAGTGCTGCATCCCTCCTGTCCAAAGACCACGCGTTTGCTGGTGAGCAGATCTCATCCTCCGATCCATCCTCACTCCATGGGGTTGGCTGAAATCAAGCACCTGGCCGTTTCTGGGCATGCCAGTGACAGGTCATGGGGCTGGGTCGTGTCGGATATCTCAGGACTTCATCCCCTTAGTGACTAGTGCATGGTGTCAGAATGCCCACCCCGTCTCTTCAGAACCCCCCTGGTCTACAGACTCCAAGCCGTTTCTCCCCATCGTTTCGGTCCGTTCCCTTCGAGGCGCGGTCGCCCCTCAGGTGGGCCGCCTCGCCGGATCTGAAGCCGAAGCGCAGCTCGCAGTTCTCCTTCGGCGGGGGGTTGGGGGGGCCCAGAGGCGCGGCTGCTCGGACGTTTTCACGTCAGGGCCCCTGCTCGGAGCTTTGTTGGAAGTTGGAGTCCTTCTTTTTTCTTGTCCCACTCCGTTGTGGCAAGGCTTGGCTTTTTGTGTAGGGACTTGACCAGAAGCACAGATGAAGCACATCCAGAACCGGACCGTTGCATGTCAGCATGCATTTGAAGTTTGGAAAGTGAGATGTAGTGTTGGGGGGGCAGTTGCCAATGCTGGTGCTTGAGTGGAAGCAAACCGGCATTGAAGTTTTGGACCCCAGGAACCAAGGCCATGGCCAGTAGGATCCAAAGTATACCTCAGGGCGGACCACTCAAGATGTGAGTTGGTGCTGTCTTAGCGGATGTGGTTCAAAAAACCATATAAGACCAACTTTGGTAATCATATAGTATTGATTTATATATTTGCACGTGATTTTGATGACACAAAACTAAAACTTGCAGAAAGCAAATCATGCAGCAACAAGTTTGTTTTGTATATGTTTTGTGTTTAAACCTGTATGGCGTTTGAAGACCAGTGAGTCTTGCACAAGCCAGACGCACTTGAGCGACTTCTGGCGCGAGAGGTAATATTGCATGTGGCACAGGAGGGCATAGGAGGACTTACCAGATCCATTGTTGAAAACCCTCTGTGTGTGTGTGTGTGTGAGTCGATGTGACTTTCATCATGTTGAAGGCACAAGTTTGACTGAGGCATGATGAGGACCAAGACAGGTGTGGGCATTTGGGGCACCTTGTGCCGGGCAGGGGCAGGGAGAAGAGAAGACTCTGAGAGTGGAATGGACTCATCAGAGTGTTGCCGATTCCAAGTGCGGCATGGTGCGGCTCATTTGGATCGGGCGATTGGGCGCCGCCCATGTTTTGGATGTGTGATGTTTTTCCCGGCGGGCCTTAAGGACCAGTGAGTGTGTGTACTGTATCAAATCATATCCAGCATTTGCATTCCTCGGTGCGAACAGTCGCAAGACTAATTATAGGAAGGAGCGCGAAGCAGTCACGAACAAAACTTGTGGGCAGGCTCTGAGGGGGGGGTCCAAAGCACACGCGCACTCCAGCACATCATCAACAAGCCGCACACACCGCATCACTAAGTGGACAACCACCTGTTTCGTCTTCGGAAAATGGTCATCCAAAGGCCATGCACATATAAGCATGCTGCATTTCAAGGGGAACATCTCATCCTGCATGAAAACCACCTACAGAGGTTAAGTGACCTGAACTAGGACCCGTCACCAGGGGTACCTATAGGATAGTCTATGGGCTTCTTCGACCTCTGGCATTTCACCCAACTCTTCCCTCACTGCGGCTGATTCGGCTTTACATCTCGCTAGGTCCACGACCTCCAAGTCGCCGGGCAAAAGCGGTACCGACAGGCGAGGACGTAAGTCCGGGTTGACCAAACGATTCGCTTGGTCAAGGAAGAGAGGAAACATGATCAATGGAACCAGGCTTGCGGCACTCACGCCCCTGATGTGACTCATGGCAGAAGTTCTTCTTTTCGGAGCAGCTGAAAGGACCTGAAAGGACGACCCTGAAAGGATGACCTGACCTACGCAGTGTGTGTTGGTTGCACTCCACTTCCATGTGGGCTTGGAGTGTACCTTTCCCATACACGACCGATGGAACTGCCATAGGACTGCCGCCCCATTGACCCCCCTGGCACCACCCCAAGTGATCGGCATATATGGCAGTCCCATGGAGCGTCTAGGTTTTGCACCTTGCTTCACCGGTGCACCGGCCACCCACCACTGAAGGGATCCGGCCACCGGTGCGCATCAGCCTTTCGCCTTTCGCGGCACCGAGCAGAGGTCTTCTCGGCCACGAGCCTTGACAGCAAGCAACAGCCGTTCGTGGGGATGCCCAAAGGACGAGCAACTGAGTTAAAGGGAGGAGCAATGGATCTCTACAAGCCGCCAAATGCTCTTCTTTACTGTTGGGTCCTGCAATCAATCAATATCCATCCATCTCAAGGTGTTCAGTACACCTTGAACGACTCTGGAAGGGATTGCAAGCTGCTGGTTAACTAGGACCTTCCTGCCCCCTCTATGGATCCAACCAGCCCATCATCGGAACGCTATTGATGAAAGGATGGGAAATTCGTTGTTCTGGTACTGTTGTGGTCTGCTTGTGTGCCCTTTGTTTGTGGTCTGCATGTGTGCCCTTTGTTCGTGGTGCTGTGTGTTCAATTCTTTATCTCGAATTGCATGGATTTGGAGCGCCAGGCGCCAGGCGCTGCTTTCTTGGCAGACATCTGGTGTGATCGAACCCATCTCAGAACCCTCCATCCCAGGCCCACCCGAGCCTTCGCCCGGGGTGGGAGGGGTCGCGAGGCCCAGCTCCAGAAGCCCACGGAGCGCCGTGAGCCCACGGTGCGTCGAGGGCGGAGCTTGGTGGGGTAGGGACTCAGCTGGCGGAAGCTTAGCAGGCTCGGCTTAATAGAATGACACTGGGCGTTTGGCTTGAAAGCTGGTTCCGAGATCGCCTCGCTGAGGCTTGGTTCATGGTGTGAACATGGCTGAGTTCACGCCCCCCGGAGAATCCCGGTGGTCCTTCTAGTGATCCCATCGCAGCAGAAGAAGTTTGCACAACTTATGAGTAGGATTTGAAGGGGTTGCCAGGATTTCCACCAGCAAGCCACCAATTTGAAAGGGGTTGGAAGGTGATAATTTCCCAGCTATGTAAGGCTGTAAGGTGACAATGTCCCAGCTAAGGTGAGAACTTCCCAGCCAATGTTCATCGACCCACCATGCGTTGTCACCTTTGGCCAGGTCCATGGGAAGATCTGCATCTCCATACTCCAACCGAGCGATCTATGCTCGGATCGCCCAGATCGGCCGCGGCCTACCGGAGGAAGTTGGGCGGAAAGCACCACCAGAGGCTCGCTGGTGCAAGCAACCTCCTAAGAAGGTGGAAGGCTGGTGTTGGAGGTGGATCCACCCGCCTATCGTAGACTTTTGATTAAATATATAGTGTATTAATAAGCCCCCCAATATGAAGAGGATGTCCAATTCAGATGGGTGGGTTTATCAATCAAGAGTCTACATTAGCTGTTTGCCCACCTGAGCAAGTCAAATGTACGGTAATTTGATTTAGGGAATGGAAGCCAGAGCAAAGTTTGTCCAACAAAGCTGGGAGTTCCGTTGCTGAAAGAACTTGGTCAGGCAATCAAGTGCTGAGACAACAATAGCAATCAATAAGTTATATGAAGTTATTGAAGCATGTGATATCAATCATATGATATCCGGGTTGTGCATTCAACACCATGAGTGATGCACACCCATGTACATCAGCCCTAGGATTCCAACCACCATTGATTTTTAATATAACAATATATATATATATTATAAGTTTACTGTAGATATTTATAGAATTGGTTTTACCAAACAACATCAAACAACCATTGTTTTACTATGCGTTACTCAGGGTTAGACTACAAGACCAGGTCAAGCTTTTTTGTTAAATGGGCTTGGACGGCTAGGGTAGATGTATAACGACTGATGACCACATAGGCTGGTCGCGGCGAGGAGTGGGCCGAAGACCAAAGCTCAGCGCTGTCGGTGTGAATTCCTGTGATAGATGATTCAACCATTTGGCTATGTCAAGGTCAAAATGATTCAATATGCACAGTATAAGAGAGAGAGAGAGAGGAAGGGAGAGAAAGTTGGTGACAACCAATTGATGTTGATATGTCCAATTGTCGCACCTGTATCCTCATACAAGAACGACTGAGGAGATTTGAGGGCATTACGGTAAACACTTTGATGATCTTTAACGTTTGTTCTTAAACTCCTACTGATCCCTTCACAACGGGTCCTAACAAAAGCAATTATGGTCGACAGTTTCGATGACTCCATCGACCATCTATGCTCCTGTGCTCCTCAGGTGGCCGACACACCCTGGTCTCATCCACCGCAGTCGGTGCCAACGTGGGGCGACCCAAGAAGTGAGGAGGGCTGTGGAGGAAGGAGGTTGGATTTGGGGTTCTTGTTTGCACAGATTGGGAGGAGGTTGTTGGGATGTAGGGAAGTTGTTGCATAGAGGTCCAGGTGGATGTTCATGGATTTTCAGATATATATTTCAAGACATTCAACGACCTTTGATGGTTTTCTGGTAGCCTTTGGCATCACAGAAGTGTCAAGTCTTGGAGCTGAGAGTTGTTCGAGTCTGGTGCTTGGATGTTCGAGTCCGGTGCTTGGATGGATACACTCGGAGTTCACTCCGAACACCTCCCAAGACGTTCCCAGATATATGCCAGGGATTGCCACAGCAGTCGTACCTCTTGAGATGGTCTTTTGGACATCTTCGGAAGAGGTCCAAGAGGTCCACCTTCCTCGACCAAAACTGACTGGAGGCTCCTGGAGGCCCAGACATGGGGGGAATCAAACACACATGTGCAGCCTTCCTCCGGGGAGGATCCCATGGACCATGAGAACGAGAACGAGAGAGTTCCGTGGTGAATCTGGAGGCTATAGTTGGTTGGATTCCACCCGTCATACAGCAGGGTGTTATTTTGGAAGAAACAATTACATTGAGTGGAATCCATATTGAGTCTGCAGGAGGCTATGTAGATCATTTTGGGCCTCAGGGTCTAGAGACTCCCACGGCTCCAGAGACCTTGATTCACCCTTTGGATCCCTTTGGGCCTTTCTGAGGAAGGCTTGGAGATGACTTGGTCGGAAGGCAAGGAAAATCAAGGAAAGCAACGTTTGGTCGATCATTTGTAGCGGATGTTTGTGATATAACTAAGATATGATTGAGCACGGAGTTTCAGAGCTTGGAACATGCATGGACCAGCAATCATGGACATGTTTCATGATCACGTAGATCGTACATTTTTCTGTACACTTGATTTTGTCGCGTTTGTGCATGGGGGTAGCACCCCTGGCCCCTGACATCAACTCATCACGACCGCTGCTCCTGTCCAGCAGGCGCGCCCAACCCGTGCCGCGTCACTGGCGCCACCGAGTTCGTGCCGCGTCACGTGGCCACGTCGGAGTTCGTTTCACCCGGTGTTCATGGCGTAGACGGGTCAAAACCGAAGGGGGGCACCTCCATCGAGCCAGGCTGGTGGGGGCACCTCATTTGTGGTGGAAACCACCGAATGTTCGTCGGGTTCGGAAGCTTCAGGCCACTCGGTTGGATCCGGCACTCACTCAGCCAGGATCAGGTTTTTACAGGAGACATTTGACAGAAATACATGGCCCACATTTGACCACAAAGGATTTGACCCATTCCATGACCTTTGTTGTTGCCTCCATGGGCGGTTTGTTCCTCAGAACGGCCACCGCTGAGAGCAATGTCAGGCAGGACGGCTCAAAGCGCTTCGATCACGGCCAACAAGTGCCTCATAGCCCCGAGAAGGGCCCACATCGAGGAGTTGTGGAGGCTCAAGTTCTATTAATATATATTTTATATTTTAGCGTTTCCCCTCCGACTTCACTGCCTATGAAAGGCCGTGATGGACAGGGACCGCTCAAGATAGTTCCTTCAGTCGAGCTGGAGTCACGAGTCACGAAACGAGTGGATGTTTGCAGATGAGCTCGAAGCTACAACGGGGGGTCACGGCTCACCACCCAGGGGTGCGGATGTCACATGGTCCTTGACTTTCCCCGGAGGAGGTCCCCAAGTGGTAAGTGAAAGAAAGACCCCACGACGTCGATAGAAAACCACCTCCGTTTCTATATTGAAGATGTTCAGGAGTGGGTAAACAAACTCATGCTTCTGACTCTCATCTCATACAGTACTTGACAAAACACGTAACAACTATAATGTTGGGGTATAGTCCGGTATAGTTTACCCATGTTTACCCACTCTCAGAGTCAGGCAGCTCATGTTAATTTGTCTATGCACAGTCGCTGCCTGGTGTTGCTTTCAACGGTGGCGGCGAGGGGCGGAGCGGCCGGTCGCGCTGGTGCGGCCGGTCGCGCTGGTGGTTTCGGAGGATGTTGCGGAAAAAGCAGAGCTTCGATGCCCGACTGGTTCGCATCAGTCCTCGTGCACTGTCCTGTGTGCTTGAGTATCTTCAGTATATGTTCGGTATGTTTTGTAATTAGACTGGCTCGGTTGGTAGCTGCAGGCAGGCGCTTTTTGGCTTAGTCATGTGCAGAGATACCAATGTGTCCAATGTTACTGAAACTTAAGGGGATTTTGACTGAAGTGCCAGACCACCAGCAGTGTTCAACATGTCAACAGCCGCCAAAACCCTTCCACGGCCCGTCCGAGCTGTTTTGGCACGCACCGGGTGGCAAATGATTGAATGTAGCGGGAGGGTCAAGCTTCGCACACATGTTGGGGGAATCTCCGGCTTTGGCCGATATCATCATGGATTGATGAATGCAAAGTAAAAGGTGCTGTTGCTGACTTTGTCATCTCATGAACTGCTGGGTGCACTTCATACAGAGACAGATAGAGAACTTGCAGGTAAAAGTCAATGTGTTGTGCAGGTACTGACCCAGAAAGCTCCGGCAACGATCGAAGTGGATGACCGGAGAAACCGCAGATTGACACATACATCAATCGACACACACACAGACACAACCCGGCTGCAATCATTTGGTCGGTCTACCGTGGAAGAGTCTCTTGAAATATATCAAAATGGTTTTGAAGGATGTGTATCAACAATGACTCTATTATATAGAAGGGCCCAGTTTGTATCAAGTCAAACTGTAGTTCAACTGTAGATCTGGTTTGAAGGGTAGTTTGGCAGCAACACCGTCTTCCAAACTGCTTTTTGACCACCGCGTGGGTGTGTAAAGTGGGACGTGATACGGTAGGTGGACATCGCTCCAGCAAATTTGTTGGATGACATAGTCCTTCTTTTTGACTGCGCATTTTTACGGGATTTCTGTATAAGGCAATTTTTGGGCAGGGTCACATATCTTGTAGTTTGTGGATTTGTTTGGCCCGAAATCCTTCGATGCGTTGCCAGCTGTTTGTTTCCCCAGCGCTGCCACTGGCTTCCAGGTCGCAAGGTTGCTCAATGCATTGGAGTCGATGGGACAGTCACATGCAGATATTCCAAGGCTTCCACATTTAGTCCACACCATCCAGAACCTAAAGCCGCAAGAAGCCACCACTTCCACGCCACGGATTTTGCCGCCGCCGGGATTCTCTTCGTTTTGGACCTCCCAAACGGCCGAACGGCCGAACGTCCGAAGTCGTTGTCAGCCATGGCAGGCAAGGGTGGCCCTTATAAGGCACCAGAGAGACGGACGGAGCATGCAGACGTGTTGGAATTGGTTTTCCCCACATCTCTGTGTGGGGTTCTAGTTTTTTTGGCTGCCATCCCGCCCGACTCCGCCCGCCCGTCCCTCCCTCCGTCCCTCGCTCCTTCCCTCATCTTGTGACTTGTGATCATCTGACACACACGCATCTTGTCACTCACTCACTCACTCACTCACTCAATTCACTCACTCACTCACTCACTGCGCTACTGCCATTGTGATTTGCATAGCAACGGCTCTAGAAGGGGCTGCGGCGCGCGGAGTCGCCGCTGGGCCCCCCTGCGGTCGTG